GCGTTTTCAAGAACAAGGGCAAAAACTCATACTAAACATTTTTCGATTCTTCTGATTTTCAATAGGGTTCATCCTTGGGTGATTACGAACATTCACACCAAGTTTCATCAAAATCCATCAAGAATTGTGCCTTCTAGAATGATTACGAGCTAAAAATTGAACGCGTTTTCAAGAGCAAGGGTAATAACCCAGACTAAACATTTTCCGATTCTTCTGATTTTCAATAGGGTTTATCCTTGGGCGATTACGAACAGTCATGCCAAGTTTCGTTAAATCCATCAAGAATTGTCCCTTCTACAGTGTTTACAAGCTAAAAATTGAACGCGTTTCTAGAGTGTTTATGAGCAATTGTGACGGCAATATGGACGTAGTAAAATTCCTACTTTGAGATATTTTTGAGGGAATTATGTGATTTTCGTACGTTTCTATACTACTTCTGAAGACTATTTAGACTAATGTATATTTATTAAGAGGTTACTACATATTTTACATATACCATGATAAAACAACCAATAATTATTCATGAAATATTGTTATTTAAGTAGTGATTAGGGTGGTTGAAAAGAAACCAGTTAATATTGACATGCAACTAGTCAGTTTTCAAGAGAAGGCACTGACACAGTGTTAAAGCCAATCAAAATCAATTTTCCAACAGAGTTTCCATTTACACGGCGTTTTAGATATGATATTGACTTGACTGTACTGTATATTCCACGTGTAGTATTGTTCGATAGTTATATATATATAGCTTAATTATACAACTTGTAGATTGACTTTTATATCGGCCACAAGAAGTTCAATTAACTTCGTTGGGGGGTGTGGGTGAGTGACAGAAAAGAGGCCGAATTGGATCAGTATTTATATTAAAAAGAACCGGAGGCATATTCACAATGTGTAGCTATTACGAACTTCGTCTTATACCTTGACAACTATAAGCCAGTGGAGATTCTCGAAAATACCAGGAGATCCCCGTAGAATCGTCACTAAACCTACATTTATCTATAACACCCAATCCTTTGTGTATATTAACCACATATTCCAAGAAAATATATTGAGCTGATGAAAGATTTCAAATTTCTTTCGAGAAAAGCCGCAATGTATTACGGGTGACACCGCCCAATACACCCCTAGATTTAAAAATTCCAAACACCGAAAGAGTAGTCATTCTATTAGTGATTTTTGTGGTCAACTGGAAAGATTTCTATTAAAAAAAACAGCTAATACATTTATGGTCATATTCACAATCTCAAGCTATTACTAACTTCGTCTTATACCTTGACTACAATAGCAACCTTTCTTTCGGAATGCAGAGATTTGATGCAGCCAATCAGAACCCTCAACAGACAGATTGTAAACAATGTGGCTTATTATTTACAGACTTCTTTTTTCTCACATAATATTGAATTACCTTTACGATGATTATAAATTAGTGTTGAGTATCACCGTAACTTTCGTTAGTATTACGTTCATCGAATTATCATCAAATTCCAGCTCTCATTCATGAAAAAACTGTAGTCTCTAGCTATTTGCAGTCTTATTTTTATTTTCAAAAATTTTCAGGGAATATCCACATTGACTATCGCCACATTTCAGACAAAAATCTCATACTTGCTCAATTACTGGTGGTATTGACGGGACAACAAAAGGTGCTATGCTGAATATTCAGTTTTATTGGACTTCGGTGTAATCGGTGTCTCAACCCAGTGGGGTTCTCTAGGTTGACGGTATTCGTTGTTTTGTTGAATAACTTTAGGTCTAAATATCTATTAGTCCTAGAGTGTTGACAGTTTTCTGCGGCTGCCTTCCCAAGTTAATTTACCCTACAGGGCTGTAACCTGTCTTGTCGGCTACTGACAGAGGTGTAAAATATTTGACAGGCTGACACATGAAAACTATCAGACTCTGTAAGGCTTCAGTTTGGTCATTAGATTGTAGATATAAAGGTATATGGTACCTAATTTGAAACCTGTCGTGAATGGTTTGTCTTCTGGAGTACTTTTAGTGTCCGAAACTGAAAGCAACTCATGTGGACCTCTCTCGAAAATAGAATGGTACTCAAAGGCCGTTTTCTCCAAAATGACTATATTTCAAATAAACGTCGGGCATGTTCTCTCTTCATTTCATACTAAAATTACACCACGAGGGTAGTCATTGACAAAATTTTGTTCGTTTGAATTATAGGGTGGGACTGGAACCTGTCTTAGGCTTTCACACAGAGGGAAATAGACATTCATATCAGGCGGCACCAAGAAAACTGACAGACTTGTTATTGATCAGCATGAAGGGTATAATGTACATTATGGATGGTGACAAATAATCATCAAATACTAACAATAGTTAGTGAGTTTCCAAAAAAACATTTCTTTCTTTTAGCAAACTTCAGATGAATACTGTGAAGAGATTTGATCCCCCTAACCGTGATATAAACTAATCTAAGTCTAATAATAGATTGGTGTAAATTTTGCTTGACCACGAAGAATCGGGAGCTGGTGGCTTACTTAAACACATATTTCAAAATATATGCTTGTTATAGATTTAGGCTATGATAACTCACTTATTCTGTTTACTAACTGCATATATTAAATATGTCTGGGACACAACCCTGGTAAAACTGACACTTTGTTAATAATACAGAATAAATGCTTTCAATGGATTTAAACTTTGATAACTCTCGTTAAAACAGCTATACTGTCTACTAACTGTATATATTATAGAATCTTGTTAAATAACACTCTCATGACTCACCAAAGTTCATGCGGTGTCCAAAATATTAATTACTTAATTTCATGTAAAAGAATGCGAAGTGCTGTAAATTGGGGTATGAATTTGTGTTACATCGTTACGTTATAGTGACACGGTAAATACCAAGCCAAAACAAAGAAGACTTCAGCGAGAGAGTAATTGGATGGACCAACTTCAAACTCTACACCCAAACGGCCTAAATATCTATCACCTTTCGTTACAACCTATAACCATACAATGATACAATATTAATATTAGTCTTTCATAATTACCATATCTACTTTTCTTTTGTACATTGTTTTAGTAGAAATCTCTGTGATATAAGACAGTAATTTAATGAGACTATGTTCTCAACACCATCTAACACTAGTAGTTCAAGTACATCGTTAATCTATTGCTACATACAAACTACAGTTATCTAGGAAATATAACGACTCATATATTGGATTCATTCCTTTATATCATATGCCCACACAGCAGATTTGTTAAATTATCAAATACTTTTGGTGTTCTATATTTAGTTTTAACCAATTTAAGGGTAATAAAAAAACACAATTCAGGGAAAACCTGTCCAATTCAAACTTGTACCATATCAAAGATTTCACCAATTTCAAAGATTCCACCAATTTTAAACATCACACCAAATTAGACCCGTGAGCCAGCCAGCTTGCCAATTTTCGGCTTGCTACAGCTAAGCCAACACCTCTAGTGGCTGTTGCTGGCTTCACATAAAATTAGCTGGCTAGCCACAGCTTTGAGCAAAAAGAGAATGGAAACAGTTTAATGCTAGAAATTATTGCCTGCATAACGGGCTTACTTTGTACAAGTCTATCCATATCTGAAGAGTATCAAAATGAAAGTGGCAAATTCAGTTCAATTCGTGAGGGTGTTGCGGGAAAATTCTTTTCCTTTCATCTATACAAGTAATGATTGGACTGGAGATTTTTTAGAAGGCACGAATTACACCTTTGGAAAAAGTAATATTGTCAATAGGCTACTATTTCCATTGCTGTCAGAACATAGGTCTACTGATTTTTAGTACCGGTATTACATGTAGGCCTAACAGTACCGTTTAATTTACAGGGCTGGGATCATTCTTGCATTCTTGTTTAGATTTTAGATTTATTAATTGTTACTGTAACATGTAGGCCGAGAGGCCAATGATAAATAATCAATTCACAAAACAAAACACAATATAGTATCTGGACTGCAATTTAACTTTACTCACCAGTCCCAGTAAAGAATTACAAGTCATGGCAAGGAGATCATGATCATATTCAGATCATCAAGTGAACGTCGTTTGGCATTCATAATTAACCCTGTAGTATAAAAAAAAATTTCCACTGACACACTTGATAAAGTAAATCAGTGAGTGATAATTTGGACTGGAAGGTTGTAGTCATATCCACCAGAGATACTGAAGTGGCGAGCTCCGGCGGCTGGCTGACTACAAAAGCAGACCGATGGCGGTTTGTGGCAGCAATAGCTGGGGGCTTAGCCGCAGAATTTCGGCTGTTCACAGGTCTTCACCATATTTCATTGCAATTAGATGAAACGGTAGTTTCTACAGTGCCCATAAACACATTTTGAAGCGTTTTAACTAAGTCAAGTCAAAAATCGTTCATCGAAATATCGTCAAATTCCAACTTGACCAAGATCTCATCAATATAACTAATCACAGATAATTTCATCAAAATCAGACTGTAGTCTCTTTGCTTACAATAAAATGTTGATGGACAAGGACCCCGACAAATATATCCACATTGCCGTAAAGAAAGGAGAGATTCGTCGTAACAGTCAAGACCACTGTTGTGATTTATTATGAAAGAATTGGAAGCCTAAAAAATTTCTGTTATTAAAGGCCGACATTTGTTTGGCTCGATTCAGTAATTCTACATTGTATTGTTTAAATGTCTACATCATAATCCTGCATATCCACGTAATGAAACATCGATTCTAGCGAAAATAAATTTATAATACGTTATTAATGAAGCAAATTATCAAATAATAACAAAAGTACACACACAAACAAAATGTAAAGACAACTAGCTCACACACACAATCAAGCTCGTATGGACCAGGCTTTAGAAATTTGATGAAAAGATTGACGAACAGACAAGTTTATTGATTGGCAGTTTTCAAAGAAACATATGTTCAGTAGGAGGCTGAGAATTTATTATAAAATCTACATCAAATCTAGCTTTCGACAGTGTTTCCAAACGTTTCCAAAAGTCTTGTCAAGTCAACTATTAATAGCTATGGATAACCTATTATGTTCCGTATTGTTATTAGCCGTAACAACACTGATTCTTATTGATGCCGGTAAATATTGATTTCCTATTTTTTGGTGGTATATATTTATTTGATGTTTTCTGAATTGAATAAGAACTTTTCGTAATCAGCCTTTTAACTGTATTTGAGAAGACGTTCTGGTTTGTTCGAGACCCTAGTTGTTCTGCAGCCCCGGTAATTAATACCACACTTACCAACAGGGACTAATCGTCAGTTCTATAGTGATATTTCACACGTAGCCCACGAAACCGATCTCTGACACAATATATATCTCAAAATGACAAACTTGATTTTAATAAAATATTCTCAGGTATTACTTCATATTCGATACAAACAAGGGAACTGTGTTTGTTCCACTCAGCATCTCTTGTGGTATATGAAAATTGTTTATTGCCGGACAATTCCGAGGAATTCAGTTATCGCCTTCTAAATGAAAACCCGACTTCTACATAGAAGAATGAAATTAAATAACTATGTAACACTAGATAAGTTTCCCGTTGATTTGACCAACCTGGTTGTAGATATGCTATAGGTGATCTTGAATTGTGAGCATGCCATCCCTCGCTAGCGAAACAATATTGTTTATATGGAGATCAATACAAGTACAAAATAAATGTGAAAATTGAAGGAAAATCAAACTGCCTCAGATATCAATATCTAGATAATGATCAAAGGCGAGATCTTGGTAATAGACAAATTTTCTGATATATTATCATATTTGAAAGAAAATGTGTTGTATTCTTTAGCATCGATATTGTAAGCTCAAACGAAATGTAATTACGTCCACAATAAATATCAGAATGATTATTTCAGATTGCTCAACTTATCCCGCAGTTAAAAATTCATATTTGAACAAAGACGACCAATGTGATGATACTTCAATTACGTGTAATAAAGGGTATAACATGAAACAGATGGTAAAATGTGAAGGTGGAGAATGGCAATATCAAGAACCGTTCTGTGAACCTCAAGGTATGATAGTTACATTTTCTTCAAGAATTCAATTTGAATTAAACTTGGTGATATTTTACACTTTACATTGTCCTTGTGCAAATAAACTTGTTTTTTCAAAAGCAAAAAAAAAAAAAATGAAATCCAATGCTCGGAAAAGCTTAACCGAATATGGCGTCATATATATCAAAAAAACTGCTAATAACATCTAAGATATATACTGACTGAAAATTTTACAATCCCTTTATAAATGTAATAATATTGAAAAGATCAACCTTTCAAATTGCATAAAATGCAGGTTTTATACGGCCTGAAAGGCAGTTTGTATTTCTTAGTTATTTAAAGTAACCATATAGAATGATACTTGCTTTACCTTTAAAACATTTCTTAATCTATATTTCAGATTGTGAGTACAAGTATACAAATGGTACATATCTTAGTTTTCACTCGAAATATAAATCAATTTCAAACCAACAAGAATGTACTGAAGTGTGTAATAATGATGCAACATGTGGCGGTGCTGAGTTCCATACTGGTCTTTGTTTTTTCCATCCACCACCAGTCATCGCCGTGTTTATTGATACAGATCTGAACGAATGTATTACAAAATGTTCCGAGCTGAATGAATGTCTGATGTTGAATTATTATCCAGATGACGATGAGAGCAAATGTAGGCTGTTTAACGTTACTCTTAACGACCTATATGAAGGGGAAATTAGATTCGATAGTAGACATATTTTAGTAGAAAAAATCTGTTAATAATTGAAACATATCTATTATGACATAACTCTATTATAACATGTTTATCATGATTAAACTCTATTATAACATGTTTATCGTGATATAACTCTATTATAACATGTTTATTATGATATAACTCTATTATAACATGTTATCATAATATAACTCTATTGTAACATGTTTATCATAATATAACTCTATTATAATATGTTTATCATGATATAACTCTATTATAACATGTTTATCATGATATAACTCTATTATAACATGTTTATCATGATATAACTCTATTATAACATGTTTATCATGATATAACTCTATTATAACATGTTTATCATGATATAACTCTATTATAACATGTTTATCATGATATAACTCTATTATAACATGTTTATCATGATATAGCTCTATTAAAACATGTTTATCATGATAACACTCTATTATAATATGTTTATCATGATATAACTCTATTATAACATGTTTATCATGATATAACTCTATTATAACATGTTTATCATGATTAAACTCTATTATAACATGATTATCATGATAACACTCTATTATAATATATTTATCATGATATAACTCTATTATAACATGTTTATCATTATATAACTCTATTATAACATGTTTATCATGATTAAACTCTATTATAACATGATTATCATGATAACACTCTATTATCATATATTTATCATGATAGAACTCTATTATAACATGTTTATCATGATATAACTATAGTATAACATGTTTATCATGATAGAACTCTATTATAACATGTTTATCATGATATAACTCTATTATAACATGTTTATCATGATATAACTCTATTATAACATGTTTATCATAATATAACTCTACTATAACATGTTTATCATGATAGAACTCTATTATAACATGTTTATCATGATATAACTCTATTATAACATGTTTATCATGATAGAACTCTATTATAACATGTTTATCATGATATAACTCTATTATAACATGTTTATCATGATATAACTCTATTATAACATGTTTATCATGATATAACTCTATGTGAGAGAGTGAGGATGCTGTTTTATTGCATAATGGTTTGTCGTGATAGAAAATGACTATTTTGCTCTGTTCATGATTTCGTCTTGAAAATGCAGAGGAAGAAATGACGAGAAAATAGGTCGAGAAAACTAGGAACATGAAGCTAGTTCACGAAGTCAATTTTCCTCGAGGTTTCTTGCCTTTCTTGTCTTATCGTCCTCGACCCTCAGTAGTATATGAGGTTTCATATTGTACGCATTTAGACATAACACATTACACGTTTATGTCTGAATGCATTCAATATGAAAGCTTCCACACCTACTTCCATCATAATATGATAAACGCATCCAATCTAAAAAAGTCAAATCTACACCTACATACATACCAATGCGTACACATTCCATTTTGTAGACAATATAATCCTTTATTACAATAAATCTAGACATCAAAAAATATAAAATCGGAAAACTCAAACCACAAATTCACATATTGAAATGAATCCATTCAAAAATAGTCACGTGTTATTTTTCTATGAAAGGACTTTATATTGGTCAATGATTAATACTCTATTCATCTCGTCTCATTTCTATGAATCAGTAGCGGTTTTTGGACTTGTTGGGTCGTATGCAAACGAACGGTAGAGGGTCTAATTTATCATTTTAGGGAGGGGGCATAGCGTGATTACAATTTTATGGCAGGAAGTTTGCGATCTTTTTTTTTCGGGAACAGATCAATAAGCTCATCAGCATCAATCGTATACACGATATCGGCATTCATCACCATTGGGCTCAAATAATTGAGTCGATTCTCACACATCACGCTCCTAGTAGGACGATTTTCGATGAGCCAGTGGAAATTTATTAACTGTTTGATACTGTTACAAAATTTGTCATGGGCCGAATTTAATCAGAATCCTATATTCTCCATTAAAATAACTTAATTAAAAGCAGGATGAGTTTAATTTTAAAACACGGACAGGAAAAATTCGAAACTACTGAAGATAATTCTTTTCAGTACTATCTTCTCTCATTCCAAAAGTAGCTAGCTTTGTTTCAAACAACAAATTACCTCTTTCCCCCGTATCACATGCTCTTAGTTCCGTCGCAACAGCAGGAGTAAGTAAAAGCGATGCAGTGAAAAAGTCTGACGAGTTGAAAGAAAAACAGCAAATAAGAGAACTATGAAGCAGGAGAATAGAGTAGTATCTATTCAAATTTTAACCTTTAAAAATGACAGAAAAAAATACATACTAGATAACTTTCCTCGAGGTTTCTCGCCTTTTTACTCTTCTTATCGTTCTCGACCCTCGATCCTGTTCATTGCAACTGCTAGTAGCACATTTGCTTAGATATCTCGGTCCTGTACTTATTAGTACATATAACTATTATGAAATAGTTTAGGGGTGTCGGTCCAGCATTTTCAAGCCGATCCCCAGATCTATAATTTTAATCCCCCCTTGCATTATTCTATTAGGGTTCGTGACATCAACTATATTTCAGATTGTTATTACAAGAGACATTTGTTTTTGATTCAGGAACAACAAGTTTAAATCCACTAGAATGTAATACATAATGTAAAAAAAATACGCGATGTTCCGTTTCTGCAATTGTGTCTGGTGGTTGTAAATTTTATTAACTACCAATGATCTGTACCAATGTATTGCAAATTGTAACGAGATGAATGAATGTCTAATGTTGAATTGTTATAAAGGTCATGTAGGAGAGACCTGTGTGTTGTAAAGCATTACTCTGGACGAGCTATCTGATGGGGATACTATGAAACATCCTAGGGCTATTGTAGCGGAAAAAATCTGTAATTAATTGATATAACTCTGTTATAACATGTTTATCATTATATAACTCTATTATAACATGTTTATCATTATATAACTCTATTATAACATGTTCATCATGATATAACTCTATTATAACATGTTAATCATGATATAACTCTATTATAACATGTTTATTATGATATAACTCTATTATAACATGTTTATCATTATATAACTCTATTATAACATGTTTATCATTATATAACTCTATTATAACATGTTTATCATGATTTAACTCTATTATAACATGTTTATCATAATATAACTCTATTATAACATGATTATGATGATATAACTTATTAAAACTTGAAGCATAAGATAATTGGTATTTTTATTGCAGTGGCGAATCGAGCATTCCGTTGACTGTAAAGGGAATTAGGGGGGATCTAAGCTGGGCACGATGCGGCAAGTTGGGCAATGCGGCAAAACGAACCCACCGCGACAAAATAGGGTGAAAAACTAAGAAGATATAACTAGATTCCGAGGATAATTTTCCTCGCGGCTTCTCGACATTTTCCTCGTCTTATCGTCCTCGACCTTCGATCCTGTTTATTGCCCCTGCTTGTAGCAGATTAACCTAGATATAACTACTTTATAATAGGTTTAGAGGTTCCGGTCCAGCAGATCCAAGCCCATCCTCAGATCTATAATATTGATCCCTGTTTGTATTATCTCAATAGGGATCTTGACAGAGTGTACTTGATTTGGTACGTCACCAGTATTTGCTAATAGCAACATTTCCCAGAATTTTCATTCGGAAATTATTCAGACAACCGTTACTGATAAAGGTTTTTACATTATTCATACAAATTCGTATATTGCATACAGAAAGTTGAACAATACTAAGGGAAGTAACTCAGATAAAAATTGTCTACATTTTTCATATTGTTAGGACTCAGGTCGGTGATTCATTTGCCATCTGTTTCCATGTTAAATCACGAAATTCAACCTTCTGTAACGTTTTCTAGAAATCTCGTTGAAACCTTTTCAATATGTCACATGAAAGTTTCTCGGCAAAAATTCAATATATCATGACCATGAAGTATTCATCCGCATGAAAATCTCTCACCATCTCACAAAACCTGAAAGAAAATGCGATTTCAGACATCAAATTCCACATCTAGACCAAAAATTAGTCAAAAATAGTCATACAAAATCCCGAAAAAAGGAGGGAGAAAGGGGATTTGTAAAAGTAACACGGTTTAGAGTCCGGTAATAGACTACATAAATAGGACAGTTTAATGTATGAGTAGACTAGCGCTGGCCTGGCAAAATTTCCCTCATTGCACATTGCACGAAGTTACCAGTCTTCATTAGCATTAGGTGTAGAAAAGTCTGACGTAAAACTCCATTCTATTCATTTTCTCATCATTGCCAACAAACCCTTCCTGATACATTACCTAAATACTCGTCGACTGAAGAAGTCTGAAGCAGAGATAATCTTTAATATTTAACTGACATTCATCGACAACAAATTTCATCAATTCTATAAAAAGGCGTGACGATTTCCTGTTTGATGATACACTCATACTTGACAACGTGGACTTAATGTTTATATCGCTGTGTAGATCTCTATTCTTCTTATGTGATTTTCGTAAATTTCTACTACTTCTGAAGACTATTTAGACTAATGAATATTTATTAAGTGGTTACTATATATTTTACATATACCATGATAAAACAACCAATAATTATTCATGAAATATTGTTTTTTAAGTAGTGATTAGGGTGGTTGAAAAGAAACCAGTTAATATTGACAAGCAACTAGTCAGTTTTCAACAGAAGGCACTGACACAGTGTTAAAGCCAATCAAAATCAATTTTCCAACAGAGTTTCAATTTACTGGGCAAGATGTCAACCTGTCATGGCAGCGACAATGTTCAACTCACGGAAACTAACAATCATTGGCGGAGGAAGGTTGAGCCGAATGCCACTGTATTTGTTTGTTATTGCATCATGTGATAATCGAGACAATAAAGATATATAATAATATACTGTTGTTGTATTTTGTGATAATCGAGACTATACAGGTGTATAAACTGTGGTTGTATTGCGTGGCTATACAGACGAAAATAGTGCTAATATCTTATATACATACACTAAGTTTAACGAATTCGATTGCAGAGTATGGCGGCATGAGAACGTCTCAGTTACGTTGGTGACACCGTATCTTTATAGCTCTCAGAAATATTATAGAAAGAAAGGCACCTTCTTGTATGTTACTGATATTTTGTTCTCATTTATGTGTCAGAATGCCCCAAATCAGTACAATTTTTCGAATATTGTCTAGGGGAACCCATCTAGGCGCTGCATGAGAGACATGCGACGTTGACTCCTCTTCAGAGTTTCCCAGTTAAGCCAGCCTGCCCCCTATTTGTACCCCTAGCCACCACTACTTCAAACTGGTAACGGAAAGACAGACATATGGAAAAGGATTACGGCGTATAAAAAAACATTTAATCAACCTAACAATTTATTTCGTAAGGAAGTTTTCTGTAATAATTGCTGTAAACGATTGATATCCATATTTTGGACGGATGTAAAGCAGGGGCGACAACTACATTGGCGGGCAAATTTGACTGGAGTTCGAATGAGGACACCATTAAGACAAGGTAAGACTGCTAATCGGATTCCAACTCTTACTGGTTCACAGCAACTGAAAGAAAGATAAAACGGAATCTAGAATATCAATTTGATTAAAACTCCGTCTAATACCTTGACTGCAATAGCCATCTTTCATTGTATCACATCTTCATAATGTCAAGCTATTACGAACTCCATCTTAAACCTTGGCTGCAATAGCCACCTTTCATTGTGAAGATAGTAGATTGCATGGTGAATTTTTATCATTCAAAAATGAAATAGATGGTTCCCTGGCTCACTTTATCCAAATAGTTCGTACTAGTAATTTTTTTATGATCGATCACTTCCAGTACTTCTGTTATTTTTCCTCATTTCGGCTACCGTGACATTATCTGTGGTGGGATCATTGTGGTTACAGACCAATGTGAGGGGAGCAAACCATGTATTACTTTATCCAGAAACCGGTTTAATTCCACTGCAGACGGCATAAAGTAACTATGATGTGTAAAATAAAAGTCAGGACGGCATCTTTTCCCCCGTAAAACGCCACTTTGTCCAATATTTCTCGTCGGAATACACCTTTTGTTCGAGTCATAAAATCCAAGTGTTGAAGAGGGCAGAATAGGATTGGCTGGCGGTGTCATCAAAATAGGCAAATGTTCAAAAAGGCCGTTTTTAGACCCTAACTGAAGTGGCTATATTGAATATAAAATCTAATAAAAAACGGGACAAAGTTTTGGTCAAATCTTGACTACGCGCAAGATATACAAAGACTTACTTGCAGGATCTCATGATTCGACTGGTGTTGTGCCTATCTATTTTACTGTATGAATGACACTGCCCTCTGCAACCAAAACTAACCACTCTAGCAGAAGCACACCGATCTTGAAATATCTCGGGCGGATGAATTGTTAAGCGAACTACTTGAATTTGACATTTGTCTCTGTTAAGTACCCCTGATCTTAAATCCATGGCAACTGACGAGGCGGAGATTGTCAGGAACACCAGAATTATTAAACTGTCTGAAAATATAAACATTGGGAAGGATTAACTATATACATTAATTTGGAAGAAATTTTAAAACAGAACCTGAAACATTTTGTTATAATATTTCTATATCACTCTACAATTGATGTATTGAGCACTATTTTAACAGTGGTATTTCTATATAGCTCTACAATTGATGTATTGAGCACTATTTTAACAGTGGTATTTCTATATAGCTATACAATTGATGTATTGAGCACTATTTTAACAGTGGTATTTCAATATAGCTCTACAATTGATGTATTGAGCACTATTTTAACAGTGGTATTTCTATATCACTCTACAATTGATGTATTGAATACTATTTTAACAGTGGTATTTCTATATCGCTCTATAATTGATGTATTGAGCACTATTTTAACAGTGGTATTTCTATATAGCTCTACAATTGATGTATTGAATACTATTTTAACAATGGTATTTCTATATCTCTCTACAATTGATGTATTGAGCACTATTTTAACAGTGATATATCTCTACAATTGATATATTGAGTACTATTTTAACAGTGGTATTTCTACATCACTCTACAAATTTTGTATTGAGCACTATTTTAACAGTGGTATTTCTATATAGCTATACAATTGATGTATTGAGCACTATTTTAACAGTGGTGTTTCTATATCACTCTACAATTGATGTATTGAGCACTATTTTAACAGTGGTATTTCTATATCACTCTACAATTGATGTATTGAGCACTATTTTAACAGTGGTATTTCTATATCACTCTACAATTGATGTATTGAGCACTATTTTAACAGTGGTATTTCAATATAGCTCTACAATTGATGTATTGAATACTATTTTAACAGTGGTATTTCTATATCACTCTACAATTGATGTATTGAGCACTTTTGTAACAGTGATATTTCTATATCGCTCTACAATTGATGTATTGAGCACTATTTTAACAGTGGTATTTCAATATAGCTCTACAATTGATGTATTGAGCACTATTTTAACAGTGGTATTTCTATATCGCTCTACAATTGATGTATTGAGTACTATTTTAACAGTGATATTTCTATATCGCTCTACAATTGATGTATTGAGCACTATTTTAACAGTGGTATTTCTGTATCGCTCTACAATTGATGTATTGAGCACTATTTTAACAGTGGTATTTCTACAACATTCTACAGTTGTTGTATTTACCACTATTTTAACAGTGGTAATTCTACATCTCTCTCCTTATTGAAAACATCCATATACTTTTGTTACTGATGCACCATAATACATTTCGTACAATCCATATCCTCATTTATCCTTAATTCCTCCCTTCACCCATCCACCCATCTATCCATCTATCGATCCTTTCATCAGTCCCTCCTCCCATCCATCTATCCATTTATCAATTCATTCATTCATCTTGTTTCATCTCTCAATCATTAATCGTGTCGCCCATTGATTCACCGCTGTATGATTAGTTCTTGGTTTGATAGTGATAATAATTTCTTCCCACTATGTAATTATTATGTATGTCTTCTCGACTGATTTAGAGATCG